TTTAAGAAAAACTGTTTAAGTTACGTCTGCTTCTCAGTATATTACAGTATATCTTTTGAACTTCATTGACGATAACCTACATGAAGATAAAAACAGTTTTAAGAATACCCTTCTGGTTTGAATGCTGAATAACTTAGAGAGTCCACCAAAAACAGCAAAATTTAATTCCCAAAAAAACTATCTAAAAAACATCTGTTTCTTAATATTTTATGTTTTCAAACTTCATTAACAATTGCTTTACTCTAAGATAGAACTGAAAAGTATCTGTCTTGGATGTTCCTATATTGTTTTTCTGTAGTTCAGTTTTTTGTTGTTGTTGTTCAGAGGATCATTAGAAAGAGTGACTGTATTTGCCCACCTATTCTATAGAACAACTTATAAAAATTTAATTAATAAAATTTGCTAATATAGGATTAAGGGTTAGAGTTAGAAGTGTTTTAAAGTAAAGTTATAATAAACAAGAATTAGTGGGTTTTAGAAGGTTAGCAGGTTGAGTAGAAAATGTAGATTTCATTTAAATTATGATCCATGACAATTATTGTTATCAATAATTTCATAATTTATAGAATTGACCAATCAGATTTTTAAAAAATCTCGAAATGATTTACATAAATTAGCCAATCAGACGAATTTACTCCTATAAGATTCCGAGGTCTTCCGTCCCGAACTTAGTTCCTTCTCTGCACGTAACCAACCGCTCTCGATATTAAACCTTTTAAATAACTTCTTGGATGTATAATTAAAAGAGGATGTGATATATTTTCTTGCATAGAATTTAAACACACTGCCACGCGTGTCTTCGTTGAGAATGTTTTAGCTTCGCGCCTGTTTACTCGGCCGACATGATCAATTCGGCCGACAAGCCTCATGTGTCATAACCGAATATTTAAGCCCCGATATTTATGGCGGCTCACGATATTTATGACGCGGGATGGCCTGTTTTGAAGGATTATTCTTCTTTTGATGGTTTTAAAGATCACTATCTCGGCTAATACTTTAGTTCTATGTTTGCAGGACTGACTAATTAAGGTAATTGCTATAACCCGTTGTAGGTGATGCATATAATCAGGCAACTGGAAGCTCTTCGTGACCACAGTTATTGTAAACGTTTTTGCTTGATTTTTTCAATTACGTCTCAATTATTCATTCTGTATTATTATTTTATTATTATAAAAATACCTTCCTATAAAAATCGATAAATTTCTACAAATATCTACATTACCAATAAATTTAAACTTCTTTACAATTATAATATAGAGATTAATACTTTTTAAAAGACTAGCGTTTTGTTGATCTAGGTTAATTCTTTAATAAAATAAAAGGGTTTAGATTAGAGGTTGGACACAATCCGTGTCACCCACGAGTGAGTTATGTCAATCCGGTGAAAGCTATCCCTGAAACCACCTAGCGTCACCAACCTAAGAAATTTCAAATTAAAATTAAAGATCAGGTGTAACGTAAAATCAAGAGGTATCAGTATACCCATAAGCAAAAATTTTTTTCTGAATAACTTTAACGTTATTACTCAATTCAAAATCACTAGATTAAGGAATAATTTCATAGGTTTAATTAGTCTGGTTAGTCCCTTTTTCGACTCTACAATTATTATTATAGACGGCTTTATTAAACACCAGTGGTGTTTAACGTCACAGTTGCTACGTACCATATTGTCGCGCTTAATTCGGGGCCATTATTCTAAATAACGTCCATGGGCGTTATTTCGCGACGAATCAAAAACTGTTAAATAATTAATATATATTTGATACATAAGACTCACATTCCAAAAAACCTCCCTAGCTTTATTTTTAGCCCTAACTTTTAACTTCTAATCTTACCCTTATTTCTAACCTTAATCTAATTTTAACAGAAAATTACTGTGAAAAAATCTATGGTGTTGAACATATAACTGCGAAATAACGATTGTGAGCGTTATTTTTGAGAACTTTATCTTTAAAAAAAAGGACTATTTGGTCATACCTTGTAAAATACCATAACATACCAAAAGATAATGCCAGTCTTTGAAGAAAAATTCACTCATTATTGTACGTACGTACGTAAGTACGTAGACTAACAGTTAGTCTATATATGACACAAATTTTCATTGGTTAGTATAAGAACATTCTTTGCGTAATCTAAAATCATGAAAAAAACTTTTATTACATCGGAAAAAAAGAAATAAAAATAAAACCGTAAAATTTACGCACATACAGTACGTACAGTACGTATGTATGTGAATGATACATTCGACCGCCACAAAATACAGTTAATACGCAATATATAATAAGAAATAATTAAAAATTTAATAACGATAACAGATAAATATCCGACCGATTATGAAAAAAACAATACAATTGAATAAAATTTGGGCAAGATAAACATGATTATAAAATGTGTAATTATCGTTATTCTTTGTATTCATTAAATAATGAACTCTTATCAAAAACTTACTTTTTTATAATAGCCCCTGCATGGAAATGCGTTTTCAGCCATATTTTTTAAAGCAAAAAATGAAAATTCACATATTGTTTAATAATACACAAACTATCAAAGAATGTTTTTTCAAAGACCAAAATAGAAAAATGAACTTGAGAAAAAACCAAAAAACGTAAGGTACTTACAATAAATAATGCCAATCTTAGATGGAAAGATATTACAAACTAAAGAAAAAAAGGTTGGTAATTAATCCAAATGCACCCATCGTAAATGTGAAACGTGAATCCGGTCTTGAAGAGGCATTATTCATGTGGATGGTTTTACATAATAACAGGATGTACAGTGATGAAAAAAAGTATGAGCAAAAAAAAAAGATATTGCATCAAATGATTGGTTAAATAAGGATAGAGTTTTTTTTTTTTTAAGGCATTACAGATTTTTTATTGAGAGTAAGTAGCTCAAGCACGCCATCATGGTAAGGTGATATTAATTGAAATGGGTATCAAAGAAAATTTTACTAAAAGATGAATTAGATGAACTCGGATGATTCATACTTAATAATCAGGTACATAGGTCAGCAGGTGGAGGATCCATTATCGATAAATAATATTGTACTAATAATAAAATCTAAATAAGAATAGGATTTTTTGAATCATAACCAAGTTTGGTAAATAGTAATAAATATTTGAGTGACAAGACCGAGACAATGATGAATGAATGATTCGAGAAAAGAAATTTGCTAAAGAAATTAGAAAGCAGGATTAGAAATTTTAACGTCTAAAAATAACAGGTTTTTTAAGAGATAATTGTTCTAAAATGCAGGGTGACTAATAAAGTATAGATCCAATAACAGAGTTTATCAGAGAAAAAAAAGAACGCATGTACAGAAAAGAAAAGTTTACTAAAGTATTACAGTGAGAAAAGAAGGTGTGGGGGGTGTTTGTTAATCTATTCTAGATTTACAAACCGGCATTTATTTTTTTGGTGTGCATAAATTGCACGGTGCATAGTCTGTCAAATGTAACATCTATCAGCTATTTCAGCTATTTGATGTATAATGACGAATTAGTTATATTCATGAATATCAAATGACCTTTAACATACAGTAATCGACACGTATTTTTAACCAGCCGAACAGAAAAAGAAATATTTGATTCCTAAAAAAGAACATCTTTAAATTATGTAAAAAGCGTGAGAACATACTTTGCGATGGAAAATCCATCTATATCGATTCTTTCGTAATAGTCACAAAAGATCGTCTGACTATATACTCTAACAACTCCAAACCCGATCTGGAAAAAAATGTAGTAATAAAATGCTTAGATTATTGTCCACCGCACAAATGTTTTGTTTCCCCACAGAATTATAATATTTACACGAAAAATAAGTTTGCACAAAAATACAAGGTATACAGAGTATACAGAGTATATAGAGTATACAGAGTATACAAAGTATACGCGATGATTTCACTTATCTTTGAATCTATTAACTATTAAGAAGAGTTAGTTACTTATGTCTATTCTTATGAAAATGGTTGATTTTGGAAATAATCTTTCATTTACTTGCATGAGAATCTACTAAATTTAATAAAATATTGTCAAATATTGTAAAATATTGTAAAATATAAAATATTGTAAAGTATTATAAAATATTGTGAAATATTCAAAAACGCTTCATATTATCTTAAAATAATTAGAAAGTTTCAAAAGCACGGGTTTTACCTTTCGTTTCGTTTCGTTTCGAAAAGTCTTTGATGCACAGATTGTCTTAAATTATGTGATGTAAATATTGACGCAATCATTTGCTAAAGATAGTGTGGCTTTGTATCACATGATTCAATAGCCGGTTTTTTTACCATTATTCTCACACATACACATCTGCAGTATGTAGAGTATGTGATGAAGAATTTTCCATCAAAATAAAAAATCACGTGCATAAGCATATATAATATTTTAAAAAATAGATCTGCACTATTTGTCGCATCTGGTACTTTTAATGATCTTATTTTTATACGTTTTTACTATATAGATTATTATACTGTATATAGTTATTTTTACTATAGTTATTATACTTATTATAATTTTATTTTTTATTTTATATTGCTTTGTAACTTCTTCATATTGTTCCCACTTGTTACTTTGTAAACCCCTAGATCCAGATCCTTTCCATTGAAAATCTTATATATAAAAACCTTTTGTTGCCGTTTATTTTAAATTTTTTTTTTCTTTTTTTACTCACTGACAAAAAAGAATTTTTTGTCATTTCCTCATAAAGATACTTAAAATTTTTTTCTTTGTCGTATGGACTCTTCTCTATTAATCCATTAATTATTTGACATTTTCACGTGCTTTCAACATTCTATTTCGCGTTAGCGGTCGAATCAAATCAATCATATAAATGCAATCATTTTTTACAAAAAATTCTTTCATTAACCGTTTATCATTATATTCAAACATTTTTTAATTCCCTTCATTTAATTATAGTATTTAGGTTGTTAATAATAATCCCAATCATTACTTTAGATTTAATTACGCTAGATTGATTTTTTGTCTTGTTAAAATAAAATAATGACCACATTAATAGAAAATTACTTCGACCCTTCTGAACGTATCGGTAAATTCATCGATAATGGCCGTTTAGAGATAACTAATATCCTGGGCATAGGAGCGTATGGTGTGGTTTACTCTGCAAGACATGTCAATCGACGCGTTTACGCTATAAAATGTATGCCAAAGGTTAATATAGATACTCGGCAACAAAGGTTACATGCGACTGAGATTAACCTTCATGCTCAGGTTTCTGGTCATCCAAATATCATAAGATTGGAAAACGTTATTGATACTGATGATTCTTTGAACGTTGTTCTTGAATATTGTCCTGAAGGTGATCTATTCTCAATGATTACCGAAAAAGGTGGTTACCTTGGAAATGACAATCTTATCAAACAAGTTTTCGTGCAAATTTTGGATGCCGTTCAATTTGCCCATTATAATGGTATCTATCATCGTGATCTAAAACCTGAAAACATCCTTGTTTTTGATTCTGGAAGAACCGTCAAACTTGCCGATTTTGGTTTGGCTACTACTGATACCTGGTCAAAAGATTTCGGTTGTGGGTCTACCTTTTATATGAGTCCTGGTAAATCCTCTTATCATTTAAATACATATATATACATATATATACATATATATACATATATATATATATATATATATATATATATATATATATATATATATATAATGCTATCTAAACTTGCATTTAAGCTCATAACTATGTATATATTTTTAAATTATTTTAGAATGTCAAGGTGGTCTTCATAAACAAGTACGAGGTTATGCGACTGCTCCAAATGATATTTGGTCTTTAGGTGTTATTCTAATTAATATCACTTGTGGTCGTAATCCATGGAAACAAGCTTGTCTTCGTGATGAAACCTTTTCCATGTATCTTCAAGACCGTGATTTTTTAAAGACTATACTTCCACTTTCGGATGAATTAAACGAAATTTTAAAAGACATTTTTAATCCTAATCCTGAAAAGCGCATAACGTTAAAAGAGCTCAAAGAACGTGTGTTGGCTTGTGAAAAGTTTACTATATCTGAAGATGATATAAAGTCCACTCAAGAAGTTGAGGAGTTTATTGACATTTGTGATATGCCGATATCAACAGTTGCTCCACGTGAGATACATAACTATTCATCCTTGAGTTCGTCTGCTACTGCGTGTTCGTGGTATTCGATGAATAGTGAGATGGATTTTTCTACTCCTCCGTCTGAATTTTTAGTAGATTATGACCGTTGTTTCTCCTCTTCAACGGGTTCTTCGTCGTCTTTGTCTACATTGGCAACTAGTCAGCCTGACTTAATTAAATGTTTTAATGATGAATTGGGAATCAGTTTGAAATGTGGTGACCTTATAATGGAAGATCATATCCTTCAGACTGATTGCATATTTTAACATCCATCTTTTGTTCTTTCGCTTCCTTATTATTCGGGACTACCCCTATACAAAATTATATATTATATATTGTACAAATCAGACATTCATATATATATATATATATATATGCATATATATATATATATTATCATTTTCTATGCACTACATTTCGTCAAAAAAAAATTACATTCCACAAATGCGACTTGCAAACAAAAAAATTTCAAACAAAAATCGTCCAATTTATAGAATAATTTTCATATGGTATAATTTGTGCGAATATCGCACGTACATTTTAAAAAATTACACTTAAGCAATTCTAAGAAATCGTTATTTTTTTCCTTAATATAAAAAAAAAAAAAAATTTTTTTTAATATTTTTTTTTTGCAGAATCACAATAAACACATTTTAGTAACATAATTTTTCCCCTTTAAAGCTTTTATCATAAACAAAATTTTCTTGTAAATATTGGTAAAATTTTTTGAAACTTCTTTTTGTATATAAAATCTTTACAATTTAGTTTTTGGTGTTTTTTTTAAGATTTTTTTTAAAAAAAAAAAAAAAATTCTAATAATTGCGAATCAATTCGAATCACAAACACAAATAAAATCCTTACTTACTGGCTAAGTATTTATCAACGTGTCAATCCAACGTGTCAGTTCAAAGTGTCAGTTCAAATGTGTCAGCTCAATGTACCAGTTCAATGTGTCAGTTTAATGTGTCAGTTCAATAACGATATGTCAAATCAATTAAAAAATGTGTCAGTAAATGCGCCAACCTAATGCATCAGTTCAATTCTGGTTAACTGTTTTAGTTCAATGATATATACGTACGTATATATAAGTATTTTTACTTTTGGTAAAATTACTATCTCAATTGTGTATTGTCATTAAATTAAATTACTAATTAATTTTCTTTCAACATTTGAGGGTGAATAATCAGTCATTAGCATCATAACGATTATAATAATTTGTTTAACAGGTTAGCGTTAACAGGACTGTACCGAGATGTATGTGAAATTTGAGATTTTTGAACTTGTCTCTATCCGGTAATGATTACATCAAGTAATTTGAAAAATTTAATACCTGATATATATTATAATAACAATAATATTTAACGCTGACAAATAATTTACAAAAATTTTGAAGTAGAATTATAATCAAAAGTTTATTTACTTTTTTTTTTGGCAATTACAATCATATTTTAGTAAATTAAATGTCAATGGCAAGTGGCTTTTTTTTGTACAACAGAGATAAACTTTATTTTTGCCTTCGCCTCCAACGCTGAACACAAGATATCTTTTTTTTAAAGTTTCGGTGGGATAATAACTTGAGTAACAATTGAACAATAGAAATTTAACTTGCATTATTGCCAATTGAGCCTGAAATTGGATAAATTTAACCAAGGATTGGGTAAATTTTACCGGAAATTAGATTATATCAAAAACCGGGAATCATTTAATAATTACGTAAAATAAACCAAGAAGCAGACAAGATTGTAATATTGTGAACAAATTTTTTTTTATTCATTTTATGTATACAAGAATATACAATAATGAATACAATAATGAATTTGTGAGTTTAATTTATAGGTACAAATAATACTCAAACATTAAACTTTTCTATACAAAATAAAAACCTTATGCAACAAACCCATACAAACCTATTATTATTTATACCATATAACGTCCAGGGTGTAATTTCAAATTTCGGCCTGTACTAAGCTTTATGCAAGCCAAAATTTGAAATTACACTCCTGGACGTTATTTCATGTTTATATAGGATACTAATACAGTAACTTATTATTCCTTCATAAACTTTCCGGGTAACTCAATACTTCGGATTGTGGAAGGTGTGAGACCGAAATCTCGTGGACATGAAATATTTAGCTCTATACATATGACTTTGATAAGTGCATAATGATGAATCTAAAAAATAAATTATATGAAAATTATGTGAATTAGAATTATTAATAATCAAATAATAATCAACTAATAATCAAATAATAGACAAATAATAATAAAAACTTACTGCATGGAGACAGCAAAACCATAATTCTCTGCCGTATGTAGATTGTAAAGATAAAGGTCCATTTGACGCATCAACGTCGACCGTAGCATTTAGATCTATAATAGTATTTAATGGTATGGATGTACAATCACTAATAATAGTTGACTGTAATTTCGAAATTTGTTTTATAGCAGTTTCGCGTGATGTTTCTATTGGACCCTATTGATGTAGAATACAGAGTCACGTGAATCGTTAATACCCGGTAAAAAAAGTACTACAAGAACGCAGGCATATTAAAATATACGCATATACATATAACATACATAACGATCTCGATTATTATCATAATCTACATTCCAATTATGCGATTCATTTATCGTTTCTACCGAATCGTAATCGTTATATTCTTCATTGTTAAATTCATCTTCGATAGTTGAGGCCCTTCTTGATATTAAAGGCTTTGATTCAAATAACAAACGAAAGTGATCATAGATGTGTCTAATTTTTAAATAATTTAAATATATAATATATATAATATACAGATTAATTAGTAATTAGTAATACTAAATTGAATAAAGACGATCTCATGATAATAAGAAGAAATAAATACCTAACATGTTTTCCAATAGTACTTGAAGGAACAAACTTACTTTCAAATACATAACTCTCATCATTAGGCAAATTTTTTAAAAAGTCAATACATTGCTGTAGAGTCTTGAGTGTAACTCTGTGAATCTCTTGCTCAGCGCTAAACGCGGTTAAAGGTATAATTTCTTTAACAGGTAATGGATCGTCAAGAGAGGACCAAGAGCTTACTTCAACTTCATTGTTCGACTCAGTAGAGACTATGCTATGACGAGCAGCAGCTCCTCTAGCAGTAGCAGCTCGAGAAAGACTTGGATAAAGAGTCTCAGTAAAGTTTTTATTAGGAGGTGGTGGTGGAACTTGAAATTGTAAGGTAGGAATAGAAAATTTAGAAAATAATTTCATTATAAATTAGCGGCACAGCCAAAGTAAAGTAATAATTATGATATAATCTAATTTTTACATGTATATTAAATTTTTAATGAATAAACTTGTGGTTCGTGAGAAAAGACTTTATCACTGAAGAAGGGAAAAGTCGCAAGTTTATATATACATAACTTTTAATAACAAAAATGCATGATGGGGTAGTCACACCTAGATCATGGTACGACAATTTTTATTTGTTAAACATTCAATTAACACGTTTCTTTTAAATGGTTCATTTGCGTAAAAGAAAAGATAAAATTGGTTCCGATAGCCTTGTGAACTATTCTTTGTTTGGTGATTGATAGTCAATCGTCCAGCCTTGACAATTGAATAACAAGAAAGATTGACAGAAAAAGTGAAATAGCCAATAACTACTTAGCCGCCACTTAAAGATGCAAGAAACTTAATATTTCCAATACAGCATCGGTATGTACAAATAAGAAAACTTATCAAGATAACTCCGCGCTTAATTTTGACTCACATTGCATATTATTGTTCTTCTATTTATCAAACTGCACGTGATACATCCTTGCTTCTGGTCAATTTCTACGATCACTATCAAGGAAGTATTGGTACGTAGGTACTAAGCGACTTCTTAATTCTACGTGGTAAATACGTACGTACGTACGTACGTATATATGTGTTTTATGTTATCCTGCTGTAACAAGATTGCCCATGAAACTTTACACCCATAAATGTGAATTCAAAGTGGCTGCTTCAGGGTCTTTCTCTGAATTTGCAATTTAAGAATGTAACACGAAACTTTATACCGTTTAGAGAATTCATACACTTACACTCGAAGAATTATATACGTTGATGAAAGAATTGCGTAATTGATAACTGAAATGCAGAGATCCATCTCTATTAATACTGTAATATGTGTGACTTGAACCTATTTAGCCAATTTCTTCTGCGTATACCTTCTGCGCATACCTTCTGCGCATATCTTTGGCGTAGGGTTGCATCGGTTCTACAAAAGACCAGTCTAGAACCGGGCCTGATAAGGACCGTGGGACCGTTTTAATGACCGGTTCAAGGTCGGTTCTCATAAATGCTGATTTGGGGAACGTCTAAGCGAAGCAGATTTTTATAATATATATTTTATTGATTTAACTTTAGGATTATGGTCATCTTATATTTGGGTTAGTTTAGGTAGCAAAATTGTCTTTAGACATTTTTAATTAACCCACTCGAGGTAGGTTTAGACGGTATTTTTCAGGTTTTTTTTGTTTTTATTTCTTGTTTTGATCTTCCCCAGTATCGCCACCAAAAAGTTGTAGTTACGTGATATTGTTGTGGCGCAAACCAATAAGATTTCAAGATCAAGTGTAATGTTGCACAATCAAGAAAAATCAAAACAAAAGTTTCTTTTGCCAAAAATTGCTTATAACTCATAATCTTATATAGAAAACCACTTTTAATATATTAACAAAAAAAATTTCTTAAGTGATTTTACTAATATGTTTACATTAACATTTAACTATAATATACTGCAAAAAAAATTAGGATGCAAATCACTAACTCTTCCTAATGATCATTTGTACCAAGTTTTCTCTTAAAACAACTGCACTTTTCTCAATATTTTATTAAGTAAACACATTTTGGCTGCCTAAGTAAAATTGTTTTTGACAAAATTTTACATATAGGTGGTCTAGTTTTATATCTTTAAAGCCTTTTATTACAGAGATATAACTAAATTTAATTTTTTGCTTACTCTTAAAAAAATTCAAAATTTTATTAAGTAAATTGCTATTGTTCTTTAAGACAAAAAAATTTAGCTTACTCTTAGCTTTAATTTGATATATTAAACATTATAAACAGATAAAAATTAAAAATTTTATAACTAAAATATTTCAAATCTTTGTTGCAAAAATTTTGCTTAATTTTTGTTAAAATTTTTTCTTTTTTTGGGGCATTTTGGTCTCCTAGGATGTCCAGATTGCAGATCTAGGATTACAAATCAAAATTACAAATCTATTTACACAATTCAAATCTCTGTTTCATTTATTTTTAGACTTAATCTAATTTTAGTAATTTATTTTTAAATAAATTACACAAATTTTGATTTATATTGATTACGTCAATCTGTCGATCACCTAATTGTTACATAAGGTAATATCTTATTTGTCACACTCTTCATATATCACACCCTTATTTGTCATATCCTCTTATTTGTCATATTTCTTATTCATTACATCCTCACATCATTATTATGTCAACTTTAACTTCTTAAAATCTGGACTCCTATGATATTAATTATTATTATTTCAAATATCAAAATCGCTTTGGTGTTGGAATATATGAAAACAAACCTCAATCTCTTTGAGTACTACCACCTGATGCACAACCTATAGCATATAAAGCACTCAAAAAACAATATTACTTTATTGTTTCTCAACAACCTATCATTACTATTTATCTTTGCGACAAATTTTATACTAGTTTTACTTCCTAATACTACATAATTAATCATCAAATAGCACTTGGTCAACTACCTACTACAACTAATGCTACTATCTCTACTAAACGCTTTAGTCTTATTACTGATGAATTACCATTTTCTCTAATCACTAAAAAACATCAACAAGAAATTGATCTTACAAATCTATGAATTCTTTTCCCAAATTACTATACTAACCCAACATCTACTACTATTATTGCACACTTTCAACATTATCATACTTGCTTTCTTTGCAAAGTTAAAAATATCTTATGTGTTACTACTGAACAAATCAATCATGCATCAAATTATACGATATTTTGTATTTTTAAAAATTTTCTAATATACAGATTATGCTCTCTAAAAATATATAATATCAAGCTCAAACCACTTCTTTTTACTACTCCACTCAACTTTAAACACCAAATTGCTATTACTTTACTTAAAACCCATTTTAACATTACTTTAAATCCTAAACAATTAATTATTGCTTCTTTTATTAAACTTAAAACATTATCTTCTAAAGATAAAATCCAAATCTACAAAACTCTTCTTCTCAAGAAAGCAACATCTCAGCAATATCAACAATATACTCAAGACAAACAAAATCAAAATTAAAATCAAAACAAACCTCCGACAAAACAAAGAAATACAACTAATGATCTTGATTAGTTTAAAGAATTTTCTGTCTCTAAAGAAATAGAGAAAAACATTAAATTTAATACAGCTATAGCTTACCAAATTTTCAACTTCATCAAGCCTCACCTTATCAATGTATATTTTAGAAAAGTTATTAAACCTGTTACAGATGACAAATCTGCTTCCAAATTCAACTATATGTATCTTGTCAAAGTTATGGCTGGATAAAAATCTAAATTTCTAACAGATTCTATCTATGAATACAACTCCTCAATTGACAAATCAATTACTATTCCATTTGATCTACTCCTTTCTACCTTTATCACACTACTTAAACAATTTACTACTACACTCTTTATTCAACTTAATTATCCAAAAATTTTTGTATCATATAACTTCATTTCACTATATTTGCTTGCTAATCATAAACTAGTTGTACTTAACTTTGCACAATTACATCTTATTCTCCATAACAAATACCAAACTATCAATTCCGATAAATTCTATATAGATTTAGAGATATAACCAATATATTTCAAACTTCATTACTATATCAGCAAAGATAGCATTAATCAGCCTCTCTTTAAAGTTCAAAATGACAAAAAATTCAACATTAATTTCTCTCTTAATATTCCTAAGAAATCATTTTTCGAAATATTTCAAATTCCCTCTCTAAAAGAACATCTACCTGCATTTAATACATGGTTTGACAAATTCTTTGAAATATATAAGCACCAATTCTCTAATATTGATAAGAAAAAAATCTACAACTATATTAAATATCAAATCACACTTAAACATGCAAAGCACTACTTCCACAACAATTTATTATTTTATCTATTGATTCTTTTCATGAACGTCTTCAATTATGTTTCAAAGCAGCTCTATAATATATTTACACTTGCCAAGTAGACAAGTATACTACTTTACCTCAAAACAAAGAACACAATATTAAAAACCTTGCTAGTACTTTCTTTACAGACTCTTTTAAACATTTTTCAGCTCTAGAAAAAACTACCTCAATCTCAAAACCACTAACTATATACCCAACTCTTAATTATTCTATATTTAATAAAGGAGATAATTATGTAGCCACATTTTAAAAACTGACACCAATTTTCTTTTTTAGAAAACTTGCAGTCTTTACTGAAAATAAAGCTATGAAACTTAATAATAGCGAAAGAAACTATCCACATCAAAGCTATTACTTTTATTGCTACTTTAATATATACCTTAAAGCTGTTGCACAGAATGATCAAATTTATGATCTTTATCATTAGCAAGCTATTGACAAAATTACAGCCAAACCAACCAATATCAACTATCTTGTCAGAGTTTTGGTATATTTTTATATTCTTAAAACAGGCGACAAACTCTCAATTAATTATCTCAGAGAACTTTATAATAAACAATTCTATTCTAAAGCAGAAAAAATTCTCTATACTAAATTTAAAATTAATTTCAAAATACCTAAAATCACTTCTAATATTTTCTTTATATTATCTCCAAAAACTGCTACCAAACCTGATTCTTCTTTTCAACAACAACAAGATTTAACTTCTCAACAACAACAAGATACAACCTCTCAATTAACTACTAGTTCATCAACCCAACCTGATGAAGATACTGTTATGACTAATACTATATCTGAATATCAAACATCTGAACAAGCATCTCCAAAAACTAAACTATACTCAAATATAGTTTTAAACTAAAACCCCTTAATCTTTATACTTTCTTATAGTCTTTTTTGCTAAACTCTTCTGCAGATATCATAAATGCAACTACCGCTTTTAGAACAATAATGTCTTTTACAGACTGTGGGTCATTTCTAAAAAAAAATGATGTAAGTGGATGGGTGGATAAGTCCATTTATGTGGAGAACCAAGATAATGACAGT